GCTGGAGTTTCTGCAGCTCTGCTCAGGTAAACAAACATTTGGGGTCAGCCAGGCTTCTCCACTCACCCCAAACGGACAGAAAACAGCCCACTAACTCAGTCAAAGCAGCTTAATGTGCAGTTATTAGGATAAGCTATTTAAATAATCAGATAGTATTTCAAATAAAGGGTGAATCCTGGCCCTTTTTTAGCTTTTCTGGAGCAAAGTTCAGATCTTTTTTGGGATGTGAGCCCAGAACCAGACAAAATTAGTAAGCTTTATTATTACTGTTTGCAACATAAATAATAAATTAGATACATAAATGTAAGTACAAAACACCCCAAACACTAAAACCAGAGGTGGGTTAGGGTTAGAAGAACCCTGGTCCTCAGAGCCCAAAACCCCTCCAGAATCATAATTAATTCTATATGAAATTGTGTTCTATCAAACTGGTCCTATAGTGTGTAATAAACCTTGCTATTGGGCATTCAATACTCCATCCATCCATCCATCCATTATCAATGCCGCTTATTCCCTCATGGGGTCGCGGGGGCATTCAATACTAAAATCTTTAAATAATCCAGAATACACAATACAATAATACAGAAAAAGGCAGAAAAGAGCCCAAAACAGCCTAAAAACAGTGTGTAAATGTCCCTTGTTATCGGGCATTCAGTACTAAGATCCTCAGATAATCCACAGGTTGATATCTTCCTGTTTCTACTGTAAACATCTGGTGCTGGTTCCTGGTTGGTGGGACAGGTGTTGTGAATGAAACGGGGCCCAGCTTGAAAGAGCTCCTGTGTGCTGCTGTAAATGTAGCACATTTTAGGGTTAAAATTTTAAATATTGCCCATTTTAGGGTAAAAAAAAACTGATTTAGCACAATTTAGGGGGGAGAAAATTAAATTTAGCATATTTTATGGGATATAAAACCATAGCTTTAGCCCATTTTAGGGTAAAAACTGTAAATATTGCACATTAAAGGACGACAAAAGTGTAAATATTGCACATGGAATCAGCCCAAAAAGTCTCACATCACCCCAGGGGTACCCTTGGTGTAACTAAGGGTAACCGTGAGGTCAGATCTCACATCGGGTCATATAGAGAGAACAGACACCGAGCTGTGACCTTTGACCCCTACGGTTTGGTACAGTCTGAGCTGCTCTAACTGGGACACCCCCCCCCCTCCCCCCAGACGGGCGGGGCCCCGGCTCCTGTCCGGAGACGCCTCGGGGGGGCTGACCCTGGAAGGCCTGGCCCAGAAGATCCGGGGGGGGCAGCTCCGGAGGATCGTGGTCATGGCGGGCGCCGGCATCAGCACGCCCAGCGGCATCCCCGACTTCAGGTGCACACAGATAAACACACACAAAACCAACAGAACACGCACACGGATAAACACACACAAAACCAACAGAACACGCACACGGATAAACACACACAAAACCAACAGAACACGCACACGGATAAACACACACAAAACCAAC